TTTAAATAAAGTTGTTTTGAAATTTTTTCAAGTTCTTTTAATGAATACTGATCAACTTTAAATATTTCTGGATCAATAAATAATAGCATTTGAAATAATTTAATACAAAGATATTTGTCTGTTAAGAGACGTCCTATTAAAGCTGACGTTCTTTTTTTGCTTATATATTGTTGATCAATTTTTATAATAGAGCAATGATAATCGACTAATTTGCAATATTCTCCTGCATCAAATGGACTTGGATGTAATTGTAATAAATTATTTATGTCATCAGGATGAATGACAAATCGTAAATAGTCAATAGTTTGTTGGGCGAGATGGATATCTTGTGCTAATTTACAATCAATATGTCCATGGTATGGTTTTATCGTTAATGCTCTTGTATTAACTATATCAACACCCTTGCTAACGCCAATACTCCACAAAAAATCTTTGCTTGGGAACAACGTATATAAATCATTTAAAGAATCAGGTAGTGGTAATAAAAAAGTTGTACAACCGTTGTCAAATCCACATAGTTGTATATTAATACCACCAAAATTATTTAATTTCGATGGAATAATAAATTTTTTGTGCTTGTTTTCAACTCCACACAATGCTATACCATGATCAATTAATAATTTTCTAAATATGGACTCATTATTAGGTTCTAAGGTAGTAGTTGTTGTTGGTTGTGATGTGGAATCAATTAATCGAGGTGCTTTCAATGATGTCAGGATGGTTTCCGTGTTTTCGTTTGAAAAAATAGAAAAAAAAACGCTATAACTTTTGAAAAAAGCACCATAGGCCGAAATCTTTTTAGGTTTTTTACTAGCTCGATATCCTCTATGGATCGAGATATAAAGCATTGAAAACGGAAGTCGGCACTACGACAGGTTCCCTCGTTAGCGTACAAGGTTATTTTCATAAAGTTAATTTTCAAAATATGATTATGGAAAATTCAGAATAATAAGGAGAAAGAAACAATTGACAATGACAGATATTGCCCTCAGCTGAGGAGCTCCTTCTTCTTTTTTTCTCGAAAAGGAATGAGTCTTATGGTTAAAGGCGTTGCCAAGACCTAAATCCAAAGAATTTTTGCAAGGGAG